AATGGGAGTCCCACCCAGAATAAGGAAAGAAAGATGTGATGAATGCAGAAAGAAAATGTATGCGGCATGAATGTGCGAGCGGAAAAATAGCGAGAACTGGAATGAGAAAGAGAATTAGGTTTAACATAGGCTCCGATAACGTCGGAGGTAGACAGGATATAAAAAAAAAAAAAAAAAAAAAAAAAAAAAAAAACCCAAACCTAACCCAAACCTAACCCAAACCTAACCCAAACCTGCATAGGTGGGATCAGCGTGTCCACGGTCGAGGAGATCAAGATCCTGGGGCTAACGGTAGACTGCGGCCTTACGTTCAACGCTCACATTGCAAATGTGTGCAGGAAGGCGTTGGGCGTATACAAGCAGCTGTCGAAAGCCGCCAGGGTAAATTGGGGCCTACACCCCGAAATAATTAAGATCATATACAAGGCGACAGTGGAGCGTATCATTGCCTACGCAGCCAGTGCAGTGGCCCCAGCCACCCATAAGGTAAGAACCAAAAAAAAAGAGTTGAATACAGTACAACGTCTCTTTGCACAAAAAAAAATATGTAAAGGTTATAGGACGGTCTCCCTCAGCGCAGCCTTAGTATTGGCCGGAATGCTACCACTAGATATAAGAATAAGAGAAAATTCCGCCCTGTATGAAGCGAGAAGAAAGGAAAAATTCCGCCACTTACCGGAGGATAGACAGGTGGAAAGGAAAGCTCCATATACGGCGAGGCCGCATCCGTCAGAGGACCATCAGATACCGGTGGCACATATCACCAGTGAAGAGGAGGTTGCAGCACAGGTGGACGGTGCAGTTCAAATATATACAGATGGCAGCAAAATTGAAGGCAAGGTAGGAGCCTCGATATCCATATGGATTGATAGAGCCGAAACCACGGCCAAAAAAAAAAAAAAAATTAAACTGTCATCCTACTGCACCGTCTACCAAGCTGAACTACTTACGTTAAGCAAGGCTGCAGAGGTGGCGGCCAGTGGTACCAGCATAAAGTACGCTATTATGAGCGATTCTCTAGCTATTGATACAATAGTTAACAGTGAACTGCTGCATCCGCTAGCAATGGAGGCCAGACGATATCTGCGCCAAGCTAGGCTGGGGGGCAAGAGTGTCACACTGCATTGGGTCAAAGCACATATAGGTATCCAAGGCAACGAAAGAGCCGATGCTCTTGCAAAGGAAGCCGCTCTTACGAGTAGAGGCCGAACCGAAGAGCACTATGACAGATACCCAGTGTCATTCGTAAAGGGAAGTTCGCAAGGCGTACCGATCTTCACCTGCCTTTATTGATGGAAACCTGGTGCAAGCATTCATCGACGGTATCCCAGACTTGGACTGAAGGACGCCTTAGCGCATGTCTTGGAGGTAGAGGAGAGTAAGACAGGATCATGGATCTCATCGTGTCAGAGAGGTCACCTGCACACGAACGACCTCAACGATACGGCCCCAGATGCCTACGCCTGTGGCGAGAGAGGCCATCTCCGGTTGAGTTGCCCGGCGAGAGGTACAGCGAAAGGTGAACGTCGGGAAGAAAGGGGCGACAAGTACCGGCTAGCAGCAGCAGGGAAGCAAATGAATGCCAGGACTACGGGGCGGGTGCTGGATGGTAATCAAAGAGCCCCCACGGTTTCTATCTTACATGCACGTGACTGGAAAGACAGACGGCTTAGAAAGTTCGACTCCGTTATGAACATCGCAGTGGAAGATCCCACGGTAACGCGGACGCACTGTCTAGAAGACCTTCCGTTGAAAGCTGCAAGCATTGCGCTAGACAGGAGACTAAGGAGGTTGTGCCCGTGCGGACGCTGAGGATGGATCTTAGTGATGAATGGAAGANGACGATATCTGCGCCAAGCTAGGCTGGGGGGCAAGAGTGTCACACTGCATTGGGTCAAAGCACATATAGGTATCCAAGGCAACGAAAGAGCCGATGCTCTTGCAAAGGAAGCCGCTCTTACGAGTAGAGGCCGAACCGAAGAGCACTATGACAGATACCCAGTGTCATTCGTAAAGGGAAGTTCGCAAGGCGTACCGATCTTCACCTGCCTTTATTGATGGAAACCTGGTGCAAGCATTCATCGACGGTATCCCAGACTTGGACTGAAGGACGCCTTAGCGCATGTCTTGGAGGTAGAGGAGAGTAAGACAGGATCATGGATCTCATCGTGTCAGAGAGGTCACCTGCACACGAACGACCTCAACGATACGGCCCCAGATGCCTACGCCTGTGGCGAGAGAGGCCATCTCCGGTTGAGTTGCCCGGCGAGAGGTACAGCGAAAGGTGAACGTCGGGAAGAAAGGGGCGACAAGTACCGGCTAGCAGCAGCAGGGAAGCAAATGAATGCCAGGACTACGGGGCGGGTGCTGGATGGTAATCAAAGAGCCCCCACGGTTTCTATCTTACATGCACGTGACTGGAAAGACAGACGGCTTAGAAAGTTCGACTCCGTTATGAACATCGCAGTGGAAGATCCCACGGTAACGCGGACGCACTGTCTAGAAGACCTTCCGTTGAAAGCTGCAAGCATTGCGCTAGACAGGAGACTAAGGAGGTTGTGCCCGTGCGGACGCTGAGGATGGATCTTAGTGATGAATGGAAGAATTAACTGGTGGTAGAACCTCTTGTGAGTCCGCGCTGGTGGGTACCACCGCCCTGCCTATTTCTGCCGTGAAGCAGTGATGCGTTTCGGTTTGAAGGGTGGGGCAGCCGTTGTAACTATACTTAAAAAAAAGGATAATTTCAGCGCACCTTTGCTACGTGTGTGAGGACCTTTAACTGCAGCACAACTGGTACATTTTCACATCATTTTCCTGAGACTTGCAGAGTCTTGGGTATCCATAAAACTAGAATCACATCTTATCACCCGCAATCCGATGGAATGGTGGAACGTTTTAATCAAACATTGGAGAGTTATTTGGNTAGACAGCTACAAAATTACCATCTATCCAAAAACATCTATTTCAAGATGTTGCTAAGATCTATATTTATAACGCGGTTATTAGACATTGTAATGAAAACCTAAAACACAAAACGGTTAGGCAAGCTAAACCACTAGTGAAAAAATGGTTGCTTACATTGAACTATATGGACACAGAGAACTTAATTAAAAGCAAGAAATAGCAGGAGATTTATTAATTTTGTATCTTTTTGTTTATTTTTTTCTTATTAATTTATTTTATAATTGTTTATGTCTACGCTCCCCACATATGTGTAATTGTTTGATGTGTTATTTTTATTACTCAAATTTTTTTTATTATCTTATATGTTAAATCTTGTATCGCATGTTTTTGAGCGTAATAATTATTAATAATAGTGATGTCGTTTTGAGGTCAATTATATATACAGTAAATCGCATTTTGGTCCTCACGATACAGGCTATGCCTAGTGTGAGGATCATTGGTTAATTTTATATTGTTGATGCCATCTGCGTAATCTCTCAGTTTGTTAAATATGTAAATAGTATTCTAGGTCATGATTTAAGAGTTTATGTAGTAAATAAAGAAATTATTATTATTATATTATAATTAATATTATTATTAATTTCCTATTCCGAGTTTATTGTTAACTAGCTTTTGCCCGCGACTTCGTCCTCGTGGAATAGTTACTTTGGCATAACGCTAAATTTTACCCGCCTCTTCATTTACGTAGAAGGTGAAAATATATTTGAATAATAGAATGTTAAGGAGCTATGGAAGGTCCAAAATCACTTTTTAACCGAATTCAAAAGAGGCGGCTATCAATTCGACCACAATTTTTTATCTATGTATGTTCACCGATTTCTCGAGAATGCTTGAACCGATTCTGATAATTCTTTTTTCTTTTTTTTGTTCGAAAGGGTAGACTTCCCGAATTGTCCTGTAATCATCAAGATCTGATAATGGTATCCTGGAGAAATTGAGAAAAATATATAATTTTCAAAGCCTATCTTGAAGTGATTTGGGTGTTTCTTGTTATTGTTCTTATTGTGTGTGTCCACGCACCGGCGCGCGGCGGCCGGCGCCTTGTACATCAATATTGCGCGCTTGCTCATTATTTTGCCGCGATGTTATTTTAAAACTGTGATAATATCTTCTCATACTCATTAAAATACTCATAGCGAGATACTCATTAAAATCAAGTGTGGGCAAATTTATTTTAAACTAAATACTTGTAATGAATAACTTATTTATTTGGATTTATATAATATAAGGATTAATATATCATCTTTAAAAAAACACCTTCACAAATAATGCTTTATTTTAGAACAAAGGACAACGCCCATTTTCTATGGGCGTTTGGGCCCCAAAAAAAAAGTTGTCCTGTCATGATGGTTTTAACTTAATTTGATGACAAAGAAATATCGTTTCATATTCAGAAAACGATTTTTATATTCTCACCCAGGTTTAAGAGAAATCTGTTTTTTTCTGCAGCTAAAATTAAGTTGTTAATTGTTTTCTTCGAAATCAATAATCGCTCTCATCATTATTTACAGTATTAAATTAGTTAATTGTGGTTAATGTTGCTAGAAATAAGCCCTTACGTACATTTTATTATCATTATATCCTCATAATAATAATAAAATGAAATGAAATCCGGAAGCCGGCAACGATATTGTTGTTGTTGTTGTTTTTAAATTCACCAATAAGCAGGCAAAGAGCGTAGCCTATACAGCCTAGTCTGTCGAAGTTATAATATATTTTTTATGTCAATAAAAAGCCGGTGTATCTCTTTTTATTGCTTTTTGGCAGTTTTGACGTCAACTCGACGAATACCACATTGACTGAGCACGAGTTTACGCAGACCTTTTATACACAANGCGCTCGAACTACACCTTCGCCGGGGCGCCCTTCCCCCCTAGAGCGGAGGTCGCTACGCCACCTGTAATCGGCAGCGAGCGCCTCCGCCTCCAGGTCCCAGGGTGGCGCCCCGGCGAGCAAGCACGCCGCCTCGAAGGAGACGGTGCGGTATCCTCGGATCGCCCTGACCGCGATCGCACGCTGCGGACGTCGCAGAGCCGCGACGTTCTTGCGGGTCAGGGCGCGACTGGAACAGGCCCTGCAAATAAAATTGGACGAAGAAACAGTAGGGGAAGTGATGCGGTGGAAGGATAGGGAAACATTTTTAGAGTATTGCACAAAGATTGCACATCATCATCATCATCATCATCATCATCATCATCATCATCAACAGCCCACAGTCGTCCACTGCTGGACATAGGCTTCTCCCAATCTACACCACTGAGCCAATAAATAAATAAAGAAGGGAATAAATCAAATCAAATCAAAAAAAAATTATTCAACATAAATGAAAGTACATACTTGTTGAACGTCAAAAGAACTACCGCCAATTCACAAGAACTAGCCTCCGTCCTGAGAAGAACTGGCAAGAAACTCAGCGGGCATGTTTTTTTTTTTAAATATTAGATTATTTTTTTAATATTAGGTTTTTTTTAAATATTAATTTTTACATGAGTATAATAACATAACAATTATTACAATATTGAAATGCTCGGAGCGAGCAACTCATTCCCACTTTGTGCAATCTTCTAGATAATCATTGACTTTATAGTAAGCTTTATTGCACAGATGTTCTTTAATAGTTTTCTTAAACCTATGTATATGTAGGTTCTGAACATCTTGTGGGATTTTGTTGTACAGGCGCACAGACAAACACCCGAATGAATTTCGTATCTTATGTAATCTACTCCTCGGCACAACAAGCTTGTGTTTGTTTCTAGTATTTCTATTATGTATGTCCGACATTTTAGGAAACTCCTCAATACGTTTACGAACATACATCAAATTTTCAAAGATGTACTGGGATGGCATAGTGAGAACTTTAATTTCTTTAAATTTTTCCCTCAGGGATTCCCTTGAGTGCATGTTATAAATAGCACGTATAGCTCTTTTCTGCAGAATAAATATCATTTTTACATCGGCCGCATTGCCCCATAGCAAAATGCCATAGGACATGACACTGTGGAAGTAACTAAAGTAAACTAAACGAGCCGTGTCCGCATTTGTTAACATTCTAAATTTTTTTACTGCGTATGCTGCAGAGCTGAGCTTACTCGCCAATTTATGAATATGAGGTCCCCACTGCAGTTTGGAGTCCACTGTTATACCAAGAAATACGGTTGACTCAACAAGCTCCAATGATTCCTCAGAAACAATTACATTACTATCTACTTGTCTCACATTTGAAGATGATTTAATACATTTTAAAGTAAATTTAATACATTTAGTTTTCTTACTATTCATTAATAGGTTATTGATACGGAACCAATGAACCACACACGAAATCGCATAAT